CTTGGCCTTCAAGAAGCCAGAATCAATATTATGTCTTTTTTAGAATCATTTCTCTAATGATGATAAGACCATCTAGAGAATTTGGAGATAAAAACTCTTTCTAAGTCCTAGATATGATCATCTCATCAAATGGATGGTCTATATTCGTCCGGTTAAAAGTTTACTTTTGAAGGTGCATTTTTCAAATTTTGTTTTTGGAATCATTCACCAAGATGAAAAGAGTGTATTCTCGAACATATGCCCCTAATATAGTTTTTGAATATGCATTTCATTATATTATTATACAATTGTTATTTAGAATTATTCTTGCATATACGTAAGGGGAAGTGATTTCATATCATCATACCATTATAATGCTTGAAACTAAAAATCATATTTGTGCTATTTGTATGACATCAAATTTTACATATGTACTCTACAAATCCCAAAATTTAAATCCAACAAAATAAAATTCAATATGTACCTTGAATATGGTCAAAACAAGTCCTTCTAATAGTAAATCCAAATTATCTATTTGGTGAATTTTAAGAACTAAGCTTTAATGAACTCGAATTCAAATTTTACTTTATTAACATTGTTTATCTAATGATAGTAAAATCATCTACAAAATTTGGAAAAGAAAAAGAATGCCTTTAAACTCGAGATCTAAGCCTCACATCAAATAGACAGCTTCGGTTAGTTAGGTTAAAAGATCGGTTATAGGATATTTTTTAAATTTTATTTTTTTCTATTTTTATTAGAATGAAAAGAGTGTAAGTGTAAATATTAAGGTCAAACAAATAACCCTAATATGATTTTTGGAGATTGTTTCATTATATTATTGTGAAACTATTGTATGAAATCACTCCCCACGTGTGTGTATGTTTTTATAAGCGTGTGTGATGAGGTTAGTATAGGCTGTCAACCTTATGCTGTTGAGATTTATACATAATTTTTCTGCAACTTTTGGATCCAAATCAGTCAATTGAAAGGGCAAAAAGATGGGAGTCTCTACACTCTTCATGTCACAGCTCAAATGAATGATGTTATAGAGAAGATCGTTATTGTAACTAGTAAGCATGAGGATATACAAATTTGGCATAACCGTTTGGATCATCTCAGTAAGCATGGTATGAAGGTATTGCAAACTCAAAATCTCATTCCTATTTCTAAGCGTTCCTTTCTTGATTTTTGTGATCATTGTATCATCTCACCACAATTTCCATTCAAACACACTATGAAATAACTTTTTTTTTGGGTAATTCAGTGGGGATGATGAACCCCTACCCATTTTCTAAATCATTAGTGGTTTTTAAATGTGTTACGTAAGAATGAACGCCTAGACCTTAGCTGGGATGCACGTAGTGCTACCACCACGATTTCAACCCCATTCTCACTATGACATAACTTTGTTACAAGACAATTCCATACATAGCCGGAATTCAGTCATTATACACATGAATCAGTTACATCAAACACTTTAACAAGATGCATAGTTCGCCATTCTAGTCAAAGCTATCTCACATTTACAACTCAAATCCAATAAAAATAAATTATCATGTACCTTGGGAAGTCTATTTTATGCACATTTGGTTCGTGTGACATTGTTTTCTATAAAATATTTTCACATGAAAAAATTCTCTCATGTAGTTAAGTTTGGAAATATTTTCATACCAATAGATCTCAGTGCATCTTTTCACACTAATTGGCAACTAATTGATGTAAAATTATTCTCACACTTAACCACATGAGATAATATTTTTCATTTGAAAATATTTTTCGAAAAACAATTTCAATCGAACCAAACATGAAGGATGTCCGGGATCACCTCCTCAGGACTTCATAGACCCATACTGGATCTCCTCGACAAGAACGATTCAAGGGTCAAATGCAACTTTATTATATAGAAAGCAAACGTACTTTCTTACAACAAATTTAAAATCTCTTGGGGGGCTGAGGCAAACTTTGATCATAGGTTTCAAGATGTACTCAAATGGGGCACACAAAATTCGAGCTAAGTGTAGAGACAAATATGCTGTATCGGCGGCAACAATTGGATATTAGGAGGGCTTGTAAAATGAATATTTAAACACACGAAATGAGTTTATATCTTGCTGTAAATTGCCTACAATGAGGGTGTTACAGCAGCATTAAGGGGCGGTGTGATGCTCCATGAAAGCTTGTTTTGATTCATGAGGTGTATGGTGAAGTATGGGAAAATATGAGGCTATGGACTGCGCAAGTGTTTATCCTCCAAGGTATTCTTCAAAAAGTGTTTATCCTCCAAGGTAATTTCTCCAGTAGGGCGTGGGAAATTTTTAGAAGTATTGGATCGCTCACAATTTGGGGAGCATATATCATTGCAACCAAATGTATATAATGAGGGAGAGAGCACCTTTATTTATAGAGAAAACTTAGGGTTAGATCAAGTGTATAGAAAATTCGTTTCGGGAGGTACAATGAGAGCCCTTGATCATAGAGATTAGGGGGTCAAAATGGCCACAATCATAACCGTACATCTTTATCTAGCTATCATCAAGGATTGGATTTAAATCGCCTATATGCTAGCAATCATAGCCCTTAATTTCCCTTGAAGACACCTAGTCACACATTAGTCTAGGTTAATTATTATTAATCATATGACCAAAGGTACCCGTAAAAATATGGATCAAAGTATGAAAGAAGAGGAAGAAATACATGCGGTGTGCCCCCTCCTTTGATCCAATTCACACTTGATCTTTATGTGGTAATAGTAAAAATATCTCATCTCTTCTTCCCTATCTAAGTTTATTCCCTTATGTTAAATGTGACCAATGAGAACTCCCCTTATGTTAAATGTGACCAATGAAAAATAAGTTTTAAGTTCAAAAAATAAAAGTATCCTAGGTCATCTGATTATTCTCATGCAATGTCGGATCTATATAGGAACACACATTTATTCATGTGATATGGTTCCCCACACCCCACCCCCTGCCCTTGTCCCTCCTACCTTTTTTCATGAAAAGTAGTTTTCACTTGTATTAAATGGATCGCCATTCAAACAAGCCCTTGAGTGTAGGCCATCTAAGGGCTGACATCAGCACCTTGTAGGGCCTTGTGGGCTCCTGGCCAGCTACCCATGTCACCCATTGGCCATTTGGCAACATTCCTGCATGGGTCCTTATTCAGAATTATGTCCAAACAATTTTTCTAAGCAATTTTTGGCTTAGAAAAATTCTAAAAACATTTACAAAAATATCCAAAAACTATTCTTAGGTTTATTAACATTTGCAAAAGGTTTGGAAGCCCAAAAAATCTTAGAAGGAAAATTCGGGGCCAACAATCTTGGATATGGGCACTCGACTTGGCTCATCCCCAAACCGTCATTCACTTTTTCAAAATCTACCCAACAAACCTATGACTCACAGTTTTATGAAGGGGCGTACATTCGGTCCATCAAAGCCAACCGATTGGCAATGGGAATTTAGGATTTATAGATGGATTTTAAGTACACCCCAAGGACAAGTCGGGCACCAGAGGTGTGTAGGGTCTCCTCTCTTATATACATGTACACGGCCTTCCCTAGATCCTCTTCTAGAAAGGATATTTCCCAAAATGCAATTGTCATATACACAAAACGTGAAGAGGTAAAGTTCAAGGATTTAGCTACTATCCTCATTGGCTATCCTCCTAACATAGAGGTTCTACTCTACCCCAATAACCTTAAGGTACCCCGAAACCTCCGCGTCATAGGCCCATCCCTATGGGCATAGAATTTATTGTGACTCTGAGCTTTTTCACTCCCAGGGCCAAGACTGCCTATGCCTGGTGAGTCACCCAAAAGAGGTTCTCTTTTCGGGTCGCTTGCTCCGGCTAGAGCTAAAATATGCTATAATATATGCAGTACAAGGGCAGTCGAGGCCTTAAAACCCCATATGCAACCAACTGGAGTCCAACAATTTATCCACTTCTCCTGGTGCCCATGAGATGATTGAAAAAGACATGATGATTAGAAATAAAAAATTAACACCGTGATAGCCATATGGAAAAAGCCAATAACCCCAGGGCTTCTTCGGTACCAAATGACACTAGTTAAACAGCGGGTGCAAAGATAGGGGCCCGAATCAGGTAACATTTACCGTATGTATATGGAGGACATGGACACCAAATTATGACATGAGTGCATTGAGTGTACTTGTTTGTCATTTTTGTTTTTTTAGGCATGTTTTGAGGTTAAAATAGGTAAACCAAAAGTTATTGGTGAAACTACGATGATTTTCAAGGGTTTTAAAGCACTAGACACATTTAAATTACTTCATTATCAAATCCATAAATTTGAAGTCCCAAAAATAGTGTTCAGTAGCCTTTGAAGAATTGAATTCAGGAATCTATAGTAAAATACAAAATAGACCATTTTTAAAGCTTATTTAGTGTTTTAGTGGAATTCATGTAGTGGTCAAACAATCCATTTACGAAAATTTTGATCTAAGTTGACACGAATTTTAAAAATATGGATGATCTAGTGTTTGGGGACTCACCTGTTGCAATGCAACTTGAGATCCTAAATTGAAATTCAAAGACAAAGCCACAAGCAAGCCCACAGGTTTATCCCTCGCAAGTTGAGCACTCCCATCCATTTTCCTAAAAAGAGAAAGACAAAGCTAAACCCACACCAACTAAAAAAGAGATATCAGCTAAAGATTAGGGATTAGGGGTGGCAATGTGTCGGGCCGCCCCAAAAGACTAGGGCCTAGGTCACAAAATGTGGGTCAAGGTCTAGGCTAATACAGGGCAACCACAGCTGAGCACAGGGCCGAGCCAGGTCTGAGGTAAGGTCCACACTGTTCATCCTGGCCTGTCCCTCTTTTTTTTTTTTTCGATTTCAGTTGGCCCAACGTGGCCTAGATCAACCCCAAGGGAACTAGGACAGGCTGGCCCAGGCCCGGTCTGGCCCAGTCCCGTTGCCAACCCTTCAAAAGACAATTTCAACTCCGTGTAGAAAAGCCGGAGCCTAGGTACAGTTTCGTATTATTGAATGGTAGGTATAACTGTACTTGTAAAATAACAAACAGGGGAACAATTAATAAAAAGGAAGGGGCCAACTCTTGTTAAGAAAACGGCGGATTCTCATCACCATCATATTCACTTCCCCATATTTATGAATGTTGTCTCCCACAAAAAGTCTTCCACCCCTTTTGGATTCTACTTCACAACATACAACATGGAAACGAAAATAACGAAACTGGTTTTAAAAAACAGATCGGCCAGCTGCTCCGTCGGTGGGCGTTTCGGGTCCAAAGGTCCCCCAAAACAAGAGAAAAAAAACAAAAAATTGAGCCACTTTTTTCGTTCTTTGAATCAAAAAGTAGTATTTACTCTTACCAGAAAAAGGCCCCAAAATGAGGAATTTCACAGTACTTGAAATGAGAATATAGGTAATGGGTGGAATGAGCAGAATATAAAGCAAATGTTAGAAGGGCCAAAAAGTATGTATTTGTGGGTATATAAGATCAGGTGGCTGCCACATTAGAGTCGGGTTCATATGCGAGCTCCTCTATTTCCCATATCAACTGGGATGCACGATCATCTCGCTTAGGCACATATTCCTGTAAAATTTTTCAAGAGTTACAACTAAAGAATGATACATATAACAGAAAAAATATATAAGATAAATTTATTTATTTTTGATACAAGGAGGTCCCAATCATCATTGACCATTAGATTTGAAATCGGATGGTTGATGATATATCATTGTTTAAGCACAAAGTTCAATATAAAATTTCTCGAATGTTATGACATGCCTTCTTCTATTGAATTTTGCGTCCAATAGCCAAAAGTGATTGAACCTCTTCGTATCAAAAGTAAATGGTCTCATACATACAATCTCAATAATAAAACCTATCCTTTATATAGACAATGAATCCATTCGAGAAAATTAGATGTAGTACCGATAAGCAATAGGATGAGAGTAGACGTAAATGGGCTGACCATGTGTGGTACAGACCTAGTACAACACCTGTTAGGAGGTGCGAGTTAATTCAAGTAGAAGACTCGAAAAGGGCAAAGGATAGGCCTAAAAGTATGTGGTTGGAAGTAGACCAAAAAGATATGGGGACTTATGGCCCGATTGAAGGTATAACTTTTAACGGAGCATAATGGCGGACCAAAATTCATGTAGCTGACCCCAATTAATTGAAAAAAAACTATGATGATGATGATGTGTGAAAGGGACAAGTATTTCTTTTTTGCAGAAATACAACTGAAAGGAAAAATCTATCCAAGAAATGGAAGCCAACTAACAAGATAGGTGAATGGTCATTAAGGGGCCACGCTCCTAAAAAAATCAAGGATGGCTTACACACCATATAAACATATATATCTCTAATAGACTGAAGGGATAAGAATAATTCATTGTCTAATCATGGTTTCTCTTAATAGAGAAAAGGGACAAAAGAGTAACACATTGTTTAGTCACGGCACGTTGCTACAACAAACATCACAAATTTGAGTGGCTTCAAATAGGAGACAGTGTGTTAGGCCTAAATTGTTCAAGGGATTTGTATACTACAATATCATTTATAGTTAGTACAGGGTCACAATTACCTTACGTTGGCAAATGTGAAATTGGCCGTTACGACACTAGGGATGTATAAGGAGGTCGGAAAAAAAAGGTACTTTCAAAGAATCAGTAGGACACCTTCAGCCGCTCAGTTCAATATCCAATAGTTAGGTGATTGTAACCTTCTTGCATCATTAATAAAAAGTCTTATTGTACCTTCACACTATTTAAACAAGCAATAATTATGGACCCAAATTGAGCTAGTTATATCGATAGGGCTCACATTAATAACATAAGAACTTTCCAATACACAAAAACATAAGGCCTCCATAGAATCATATTATTTGTGGGTCCAATATTTTGGCTTGGCAATAAAAGTTCAATGATTTATTGGCCCCATCAAGCCAATATGGTATGCCAATAAAGGTAACGAGTTTAATTATTGGATTAATTGGTAAGTTTATTTTCTTTTACACCCCTTGGGCACATGTTCATTGATATTATACATAGATATGCATGAGAGAGAGAGAGAAAAAGTATTTACCTCGAGCTTTCGGAATAAGTCATTAGCAGTGGGGGCGGATACAATTATGTCACGAGCATCTGGTGAAATGAAGCCCTCATCCACAGCTTGATCAACGAAAGATAACAAGGAATTGTAGTAGCCATCCACGTTCAGAAGTCCCACCTGTTCATTTTTTAGAAGCACTTCATATAGTCACAAATCAATCATTCTCAAAAAAAAATAAAAATAAAAAATTATGTATAAAGAGTTAAAAAAAAAAAAAACAACAGGACATATATCCCTCGCTTAAATTTATTCCAATTAACCTCTTGGTCCCATAAAAAGCCTATGGGACCCAAATTAAACAAAAGAAAGACGTTTCAACGCCTTTTTACTTTTTGAGCAAGCTTTTTATGTTTTCCCTGCAACATAAAACTTATATACTTCCTCTTATCCAACCGTCCATTCTGAATAGAGGGCTAAAATTATCCCAATCACAATATCATGTCTCTACACTATTTTTTTTTTAATTTTTTTTTTTTAACTATTTTGGTACCAAATTTTGGACATCCAATCCTCTATTAAACTCGCACTAACGAAAAATACAAAAAAAATATTTTCAATAAATAAAGTGATTAAAATACCTCTGAAAATTTTTAAAGGGTATTTTGGTCATTATATTTTATCGAAAAATTATTTTTAATATTTTTTATTGCTGCGCCCCAATATGGCACGTACCAAATTTTATATTCATACAATTTGTACAAAAAAATAAAAAATAAAATACTTTGAGATGTCAGATCTAATATCAAACGGGGATGGGCTCTCTTGATCAAAATTGGAGAGCCGGAAGGTAGGGGAAACATAGATATTCTATGTTGTTCCCTTTACTTTTTCTATTATCCAAATTGCATAATTTTCTTTTTCTTTTTTCAGTATCCTCATCACAAAAATCAAGTTTGTTATGCCCCTTTTAATTTATGAGGATCACCTTATGAGAGGGATAGAAAAGTATTCAATGAAGATGTCCGTGGGCGAGGACGAAAGAGAGAGAATGAGAGCTTTTCTAGAATTTAGATCTCAGGGGGATTAAGAAAAAATGGTAAATTTTGTAATTTGAGCAATGAAAATGGTAAAGATGGGGTTAAACTTCCTTGTCAATTCAACTTGGGGATTCCAAAAGATATTTATAAAACCAAAGGGTTATTTGGTATTATAATTTTAAAGTGGAGGTCTGTCTTTTTCCAAAAAATTAAATGATATCAAGGATTAACGAAGTCTTCCCCCTTTTTTTTCCGAATGAAAACCACACTTGTTCGCATTTTTAGAATGAAATTGATTAGACTAACTAACATATCATTAATATAACAGTTAGAGAATACATATAGTAAAATAAATAAATATACTACAATCATGGCGACATCCTCACTTTAAAATCACCATAATTCTAGATCAGATGGATACATCACAAAAGATACCGTCTGTCTATTTTTCAATAAATTAACAACACTACAATTAAGCTAAAAATAATAAACAAAAAATCTGAATTAATATACAGTTGCATTAACATGACGAGTATTTAACTGTTTCTAGTTGTAAAAACCACACTAGACATTTATTTCTATGTTAATGAGTATTTTAAATATCCCATATTATCAAATAAAGATACGAAATATACTATGCTCCCACTGGAGTATGTTGTGCATCTCCTCCTTCGCTCAAAAATAATTTTTTTAGTATAAAATTTTAGAAAATACATAACAATTATTAGATTATTTTTAAAAGAAAAAAAAAATGATGGTTAAATTTTTGAAACTTGGATCTAACCCTTAAAAAATTGGACAGCCTCTATTCAATCTCGGCGCATAAGTGTTTTTCTTACCACATAGATAGTTTATTTCAGAAGTTTTATATGCAAAGATTATTATATGAGCTGTAATTGTGACATGCCTAAAATTTGAAATCTAAAAAGTATAGTAGCATGTATTTTGCCCATCCTCCCACCAGTGTACGATATATTTTTGGCATCTATTGAACCATGGAGACATCCTGACATAAATATATCAGGATATTTACAGATTAGTTGGAGCATCCCAAGAGATATCATCTTATTATTTTTTTTAATACCAAATAAAAATTATAAAATAATAAATTTATAATAAAAAATAATTATCATATGTAACATTACAAGAGTCCGACTTCAAATAATTAGAATAAAACTCAAATGATACGAGTAATAAGACATTAAGATTAGAAGTCAAGGTTTACTGGTTTTGTGTGGATGCCAAGCTGGGCCCAAGTAATGACTTCCAAGAGCTCTTCAAGGGTACCATATCCACCTGGTTTCAGAGAATCGCAAAAGATTACATCCATTATTCAGCCATAAGGAGTTCAGGGAAAGTTTAGAGGGAGAAAGAACAGAGAAGGGAAATAACTGAAATGGAATGCAAGTTCGAATGTCGTGGGTTTTAGAGAGAGAGAGGATACCCGGCAAAGCAATAAAAGCGTCTGCCCGGCGCGCCATCTCTGCCTTCCTTTGGTGCATGTCAGATACCGCCCTCACTTCTCCTACCGGTTTCCCTGTTATCTGTTCACCACAACTCAATCTTTACTCTCTCTCTCTCTACCACCATGCCTCCATATGCAAAATCTATAGCTCTCCCTCTCTCTGCCACCATATCTAAAAAGGGCCGTAACCTGGTATGTCTTGCCTAAGCAGGGTCCCGAGAGAGATGGGCTGGAAACAGTCCTAACTTTAGACTTATGCAAAAAGTGTTTGCTCTCAGTACTCGAACCCACGCCCCCTTACACTGGTTACGAGCCTTTTACGGTCACTTGACCTTGGACTTATGTACAAAGTGCCCGCTCTCAGGACTCGAACCCACGCCCTTGGACCTTGCGCTGGTTACGAGCCTTTTACAGTCGCACCAAGTAACGGCCCCTCTCTACCACCGATCTCCGTATCCAAAATCTCTCTCTCTACCACCATATCTACATATGCAAAAATCTCTCTCTACAACCATATCTCCATATGCAATCTCTCTCTCTCTCTTTCTCTCTCTAGGACTACTGCATTTGACAAGCTGTCCTGTCCAAAGAGGTGTAATATGACTTTATTGCACAGAGTCACAACTTTCGTCCTCTTGTAAACAGAAAAAGATTAGGATTTGGAAGATTACAAAAAGAAAGAACAGGACTAAAATATAACATGTGAGAAGAGGAGTGAAAATATTTACCTCTCTGGGCATCAGAGTCTTAGGTATAACCCTGCAATCACATGGATAAGAGAGAGGAAATATCAAGAAGAGTTAAAATTTGGGATTTTTTCATGTCAAAGACAATAAGAAAGTGGGGGCACTTTACCAGGTAGAAGACCAAAAAGTACTGAGAACTCATCAAGATCTATGATTATGCTCAGAAAATTCATAACATTCTCAAGTACACACACACAATATCCAAGACTCTGGGTAGAGAGAGAAACAAAAGAATAATGACAAGAACTCAATTTTATCACAAATTACATTCATGGGAAGAGAGAGAAAACAAAGGCAAGAAAAGACACACATGATAGTATCAAAAGTTACCCACCCTTTTAACCAAAAGCTGCCCATTTTTATGAGAACAGATACCAAGAAGAAGGGTCCATGGTATCATCAAAAGTTGGCAGTTTTTTCCCTCTTTCCAAGCATTATCAGATCCCAATAACATATCAAGGATCAAACCGACAATGCATGAAGCTCCCCAATTTCTAATTTGCACGCTCTTCTTATCGAATGTTTCAAACCAACAAGTTTCTCTCTCTAAAATGATATGATTGCAAGCTAGTTTTCTCTCTCTAAACAACTTCTCCATCTACTAAACATTACCTTCTCTCTCTCTAACTCTCTCTCTCTAACCAGCTTAATCACCTACTGCATGAAGAGTTAATAACAAATGAGAACCTCTCTCTCTCTCTCTCTGCACATTTAAAAAATACTATTTTCTCTCTCTAGACCACATTACTTCACCTACTACGTGGAGTGGAGTGATGAAAACAGTTCGCAACTTTCTCTCTCCAGACCACATTTCTCTCTCTAAACAAATAGTTTGCAACTTTCTAGAGGGGAACATTCACAAGCTTGCTTGATTGCGTACCCTAAAACATGGCGCCCACCATCATGTACAGCTTGAGAAACCAGACCCATGAGACCCACGCTTCCTCCTCCATAAACCAAGTCAATATCTCTCTCCACCTGCATCAAACAATGGCACACCAAAAACCTCAAACCCCAACATCATAATGTACCCTCATAAACAGTATTACAGAGAAGAAGAGAGAGAAAGAGGGGGAAGGTTTTAGAGAGAGAATGGATGTTTGGAAACATAAAACAAAGAGGGTTATGGAATTCATAAGGTGATGTAATATTTTGGGGTATTGAAAAGGAGCAAGGTGATGACTAATAATAATTCGGGGTAGCACGTTTGTTTCCTAGGGAAAAGCATGTGGGTCTTCACAACGGGGTGAACATTCTTTAGAGAGAGAAAGTAAAAAAAAAAAAGGAAAAAGAGTCATGCAAGATGGGCTTCATAGAGCCAGGCAAGTTACAGCTAGCCATTCCTCATGCCAAACCTCAATTCCCCATTCACCAATAATAAACCCACGTTGAAAGCCTGTAGTGCTTCTGCTAAGAAGAAAAACCCAGAGAGAGAAGGTAGAGAGAGAAATACGAGAGAGAAGATAGAGACAGAAGGAGAGAGATAGAGAGGAAACCAGAGTGCACCACCCTAAAACCCTAAACCCTGGAGAAAATGACCACCAGATTGCGCCGAAGAAACCCCGGAACTTTATCTTAAGGAGAAAACCAGGAGTAAAGAGAAAAAACTCACACCATCCTCTCTCTCTCTCTCTCTCTCTCTCTCTCTCTCTCTCTCTTTGTTAAATAAAAAGAAAACAAAATGAAATGCAAGTCTCTCTCTGTCTCTCTCATACAAACACAAAAAATGGAAATCCAAGTTTCTCCACCCCGTCGTTCTCTCAAGAAGAAATAGTAAGAAAGCTGTAAAGTTTCCGAAATAGGGGGAAAAAGATTGAGAAAATGGTATAAGATTGAAGGAATGTACCAGTTCCTTCCCAAGTTGAACAGCGGCCTCTTGATAACTGGATTTCTTCCCTGGACTGCTTCCACAGAACACGCAAACCCTTCTAAATCGAGACTTATTTTTCTGCTCCATGGCCATCAATTGATTCCTACTTTTCTCTCTTTCGCTCTCCTTTCTCCCTCTCTCTTTCTCTCTCTACCTTCTCCTTCTCTTCAAGCAACCTGGCAATGAGTTTCACAGTAAATGCCTCGATGGTGAAGGAACAGGGACTTGCGAGATGTGATATGTGTCGCTCTTTAATTTTGTGCGTTTGTTTTTGTAGTCTATTCTAGAGAGAGAAAGAGTTAGAGAGAGACAGAGATTTATAAACAAGTCATTTCGAGAAGTGATGGAGCGAAGAATAGAAGCTTTGGCATGGAGATGTTACTTTTTATGTTTATTTGATGTTACTGAGAGAAAGATGGGAGTTTTAGGTAAGTTTCCATTCTAGAGAGAGAAAGAAAGTATTTATGTTTCCATTCTAGAGAGAGAAAGAGAGTATTTAAGTTCATGCTAGAGAGAGTATTTTAAAGATCAAAACTCTCCTCATGCCCTTAACAAACCCAATGGTGTTTCTATGCAAGCATCTGGTGGCCATGGACATTTGAAATCATCCACTAGCGCCACATGCTATGGAAAAAACCCACCAACATTTTTGCTATGGCCACCCATGTTTTGGGTGACAGTACCAGATTTTGTTGGTGGAATTAATAAAAAATAAAAAAACTAGAATACGACCATTTATCTTTAGTATAACGTGATCATAATTGATCTTGACCATTAGATATAAAATTAGATGGCTACATTTATTCCATTGACCATACCCAAACTTTTAAAAAAAATAATATCAAACTTTGTGACACATCCAAACTATCAAATTTCATATCAGATGGTTGTAAGTAATTGTGACCTCCTTGTTGTGAAGAATCCCAGGTTTTTCTGAAAAAACTCAATGTCCATTAATTATATGAATGTACATATTTGTTTTTATAGACAAATTACAAATGAAAATAATATAAACTAAATCATAGATACCTAAACCATACCTAAACTTTTTATAAAGTATAGATACTCTATTAGCCATTCCCATAAATACTGATTGCAATATATACTTTTTATATTAACCCGATACATAATATACACTTCCTTTCACACTCCCCCTCAAACTCAAGATGCGAGAGAGAGCGACTGGATTTTGAACAGTAATTGGGAAAACAAGTAGTTGGATCTTCAGGTACATGCTTAGATTACTTGATCAATAAGCACCAAAAGTAGCGGTGAATCAACAAGCTTCGAGAGTAGTTGGCTTCAGAAACTCTTGAAAAAGATCAAACAGATCAGATAATTGAAACACGACTTGGCATAGAAACAGATCAGATAGTCGAAACACGACTCGGCAGAGAGACAAATTAGAGAGTCAAAATACTACTTGACAGAGAGGACAGATCAGAAAGTCGAAACACGACTCAGCAAAAAGGACAGATTAGAGAGTCGAAACACGACTCAGTAGAGAATCAAACACGATTTGATAGAAGTTGCACCAACTGGGTGAGTAACAGACTCGTCTTGAAAATTGGCGGCAATACTTCAGGGACGAGTAATAGACACAACTAAGATGAATCTGGTTTTGATACCATATGAAGAGTCTTAGGTTTCTTTGAAGAGACTCTGTATCTATTAATCATATGAATGTACAGATTTGTTTTTTTATAAACAAATTACAAATGACAATAATAGAAACTAAATCATAGATACCTAAACCAATCATACGAATATACAGATTTGTCTTTTTATAGACAAATTACAAATGACAATAATAGAAACTAAATCATATATATCTAAACCATATCTGAACTTTTAATAAAGTACAGATACTCCATCAACCCTTCTCATAAATACTGATTGCAATATATACTTTTTATAGTAACCCGATACACAATATACATTTTCTTTTCACACTTGTATCAAAGGTAACTGGTCTTATTGTATACAATCCTATAAAAAATTGGAGACTTATTAATATTAATACAATACTATCATGTTTTATTTAGAAAACAGATGCGGTTAGCATGCGGCTAAACCCTCACATGCACAAATGCGAGCTTGGCAATAAATATATTTTTTAAATATAATTTGATTCTAGTTTAAAGAATATATAATCATTAACATATAGATCATAAATATGAAAAATAAACAAATTTTATAAATTAAAATAATAACTATATTAAAAAAACATTTGGACCGGTTGTTACAATTGTTTTTAACTAAACAACCTATTTGCATCCATCTTTAAGATAGATGCTTTATACCTCTAGACCGCATATTGTATAAATGCGGTCCAGCCGCATGAAACAATTGTTCTTTAGAAAAACGCCGTCAAGCAAAATCAGAGTGGCTCACATCGATCAAGTTATGGGGGTTTCATGCAATTAACAGTCCAGATTTTGCAGCTTTTGGGATGGACGGTCCATATCTGGTTTAGCTGGATTTTGAGGTCGTCTTATATCATGTAAGGTTGATACCTTATATAAATTTTGTATTGTGTGGTTTTTATAAGGTCTCAACCTAAAACGATCCAAGCAAGGTGCGTCTCCAAAGTCCGTCAAAAGATGCAATATTAGTGGCAAAATTTTCAATGATGAACTAAAAATCTACTTTATATCTAATTGTAAAATTTAAAAGTAACAAATGGTATAAATTGAGTAAATCTACAAATACATAAAAATATTAAAAATGGACGGTCTAGATAAAGTATTACAAGATATATTATTTTTGAGACTTTAAATCTTCTTTTTTCATATAAATACATCTCAAGGTGGAGATAATCAAATAGAGGGCTTTTCAGCAATTGAATAACATTTTCGATGATGGATTCCTGAAGTTTGCCTTTTTTCTACCCTATAAACTTGCAAGCTTATAGTAAAAATTTTTAAATTTTTATTTATGCAATTTTTAAATAAAATGGTAATCGTTGTAAATCTCTGTTGATATTTTAGAAGCCACGCTGCTCAAGTGGAGACAGATTTGGACACGGATGTCAAAAGTTAGAGAGATTAAAAAACATTACACGAAATTTAATATTAATTGCTGAAATAAAATTATATTCAATTTATTTTAAAATAAGAAGATCCCATACAAGTTTGTTGGGATCGGATATTCTTTTCTTGTCCTATTTTTTTTAATTCAAACTCGGGCGTAGTTCATATGAATCAAAATTTAATAAATATTTGTGGTTGTAGAAACTGACAAATAGGCTTTTTAATTCTTTTGTTTTTTTTTTTCTTGAGCGTAGGTGAGGCGGTTGTCAAAAGGTAGTCCACGGCGGCGGCAATTTATAATTATACTTTCACACGCTCACCCTCTTTTATTTGCGGCTGCAATTTATAATTATACTGTTTCTTTTCTTTTATTTTTTGTTGTGGGCTCTTTTTTCAAACCTCACCCTTTATTTATTTCAAATTTAATTGTTGGCTGGAGCATTCATCTTCAGAAGTGATAAATTTTGTTTTTTTCTAATTCTAGTTTGTTATAGCACTTCTTTGTTTTGTTGACCAGAATTGTCTCTTTAGGAATTATTGGGTGCTTGAAAATGAGACATGGTTTGTTTGGTTCTTTGGAATTGTGTCCTATTCTTGAAAGATTCTCGAGTTGGTTTAGATATTGGTTCTTAATATGGGGTTCAGGATCCCAAATATTAACTGATGCATTTCAAAATGCTCAGGCGAAATTCGTTGAATAGAATACTATAGATACTGATATCGATTATCATTTATATTTTATGGCAATACATCAAATACCTTGGATTCTCAAATGGGAATACAGAATTTCAAAAAATACCAGTAATAATTATGAATATATCCCTCGATTGGGAAAACGAATATTTGTCAAATGGTGGCATGTATTCAGCATGGACCCAAATTCAATCAGACTGAAACGAATCCCTCCTTCTCCTACGAAATATCAGACTGATAATATACCTGAATTTGACCCAAATAAATTCGCCGAATATATCCGACAAATACGTAAGGAAAACCCAAAAGCTACAAAGGAAGAACTTGAAACCCAACTATTACGAATCATTGAAGAAGAAGCTTCAGATGCTACCTCTCACCCCGAACCAATAGAAGATGAGTTCAGCCAAAGGCCCGAATAATCTTGTACATAATTTGTCCATAAACTGCACAAAGATTCCCTGCTGCCACCTCAACAGAAAAGCTCCCCTCTGTTCAACGATGCTGTACAAAGATTTCCTGCTGCCACCTCAACAGAAAAGCTCCCCTCTGTTCAACGATGCTCTTCCCACCTCCAACAATGCTGTCACCTCAAAAGATGCTTACCTCTAACTCATTTTTCTAAAAGTGGCAGTAAATGTTGTTTAGATATCCTACCCATAGTTAGCAAGTCGGGGACTATCAATAAATCGGCTCACCATAAAATAAGAAATAAATCATTTTTATTTTAAAAAGTCGGATGAAAAAATCGGGTAAAAAATTACGGATCCGCAAAAATACTTCATATAAAGATATTGCTAATATATCGGATTAGGCTCAAAAAATCGGATAAATTTATAATATAAGAAATTTTAAAATTTTAAAAAGTAAAAATTATGTCAAAGCTATCAATAATTAATGGCTGCAGTTTTCATACCGATGCATTTGTAGGTGTAGAAGTAAGGTGCACCATCAAATTTTATCATGGTATATAATTTTGATGTAAAATATTATTAGGATTATCCCAAAATCTATTTTCATATCTAATTATAAAATTTTAATTTTCAAAAATGATTAAAACCAAGTAGATTTATAAACATGTGAAAATATTGAAAATGAACGGTGTAGATAATATGTTGTAAAATGCACTATTTATAAGACTTAAAATCTTTTTTTTTCATAGTCATACATCTCGATGTCGAGATGATCAATCAAAGGGTTTTTCAACATTAAAACTACCTTTTCTGCTAGATTTTTGAAGTGCATTAGTAGTTCTACATTATAAGGTTGCATCCTTATATAAGCTTTTCCCATAACTAATTCATCAATAAAAACTCTACTAGACTAATATAATTGAGTCAATTAATTTAGATTCCTCGTGACTCTCATCCAATCATTTAATATTAAATACATAATTAACTAATATATACCAAAAAATGTACCATATAAATCTGCCCGTGAAATATTTTTAAAAACATCCCACCTACTTATTACATACCAAAAACAAATATATTATATAAATTTATTCATTAAATACTTTAACTATAGTATGGTGACAAATATTCTACATAAATTCATTAAATACTTAAAACATCAGACCTACTTAACTGGTACCAAAAAAAATTCAC